CTCAAAGCTCAGAATTTAATTTACTTATATCTTGAAACCAACTTCACAGAAACAAACTCAAGTCAACTTTAACTGCGGCTATTGCCAAGAATTGACAGCGACTGTTAGGGCCTTGCAAAGACAACTGGCAACTACAAAAAGGACCAATAGTAGCCTTACAGACATACTTGGAGAGGCATGTAAGAAACCAAGCACAACAACAGCAGGTAAGTTGATATTTACAAATGCCTTTTCATATCATKATAAATGTGATCATCAATTTGGTTGATTTTTTTTAGGATCACAGACAGATATACCTGAAAACCTTGAAGAATTTCCAACATTGGAYCCACACATTCAAGAAGAGGTCGACAAGGTCATGGAGCATGATGAAGACATGCCAATCGATGAAGAACCAGTTGAAGAAAATTATAATGAAACTGATGATGATGGGAATAATAGCACAACAACAAATATTAATGAGAGGTGAGCTACTTATCATAACTAACCCATAATGAACATGTATTTTATTTCATGATAAATAATAATAGTTATTGCTTTTTTAATTTAAATTAAATAAATGCCAGTGTTTTCGCACAAGTCTTGGGTCCATTAGCACAATTTAAAAGTTTGATAAAATCGAGCGGCTGTTTAAAGTAGTAAAGAATAATCCAGTATGCCTTGGGTACTTTACTTTTTGCTGATTACTTCTTGTGTGAAAAGACTAATSGGATTGAATAATRATGTGTTATATGTGMATGGAAAAAACATTGTTTTCTTATTTTCAGATTGAACACTGAGRGAAAGGATTGCAGAGAAGAACCTAAAGCAATTGTTTTTCTTTCAAAACTTCTGCTACTCTTCCAATTTTGTTTCTTTTGCCATCATCCTAACCCTAAAGTAGACAAACGACAAACTGGAACAATGATTACTATTGTAACCAAATGTTCACACTGTATGCAGACCTTTACATGGTTGAGCCAGCCAYTTTTGTTAGGACGGTTTCCAGCAGGAAATGTATTACTAAGTTTTGCCATACTTACAGCTGGAGCATCTGTCAAGAAAGTTCTCCTTGTGTTGCAACATATTAACATCCTTGTTTATAACAATTCAACCTACTATTACCATCAGAAACATTTGCTCATTCCAGCAATAGTATCATTTTGGAGAAAATACCAACAAAAGATTCTGGAAAAACTCAATGGTAATCAAACAAAAACAAACCTACTTACTAAATATATGAATATGAAGACCGCATGGCACTATGATAAACACTAAATACACCTGACTAAATCAAACCTATAAACCCATTGACTAAACATTGAACCTGTATGACAGTATGATTAGTGAATTTCCCAGTTGTTTGTATCAGATGTCTACTGAGAAAAAATACATCTGGAAATCTTGTGTATACTATTTGTATTATTCTTGTCTTTTCTATAGGCACTGAGGTTACACTAGCTGGAGATGGACGCCATGACAGTGCTGGTCACTCTGCAAAATTTGGCACTTACACAATCTTTTGCTGTACACTTGGACTGATTATCCACATAGTTCTTGTCCAGGTACTTTTATCATTTAGAAATAAAATCAATAATAGACATTTTTTTAATGAATATTAATGCTAACAATCAATCTCTGTATTTAGATGACTTTGCAAATAAAAAAAATTAAAAAACAAATCACAGAATTTGTATGAATATCATTTCTTGTGTACCATTAAACAGGCAAACCAAGCTGGTAGTAGCACTGGTATGGAGTTTCTTGGACATGAAAAGGCTTTGCTCTTCCTTCTATCAACTGGCATGATTATAAAAAAGTATATCACAGACAGACACACACAGATAACAAAGTGGATGCGAGAGGATTGTCCAAGAATCTGCAGAGAGATGGGAAAAGCCCAAATACAACATTTCTTTGACTTGTGGCATATTGCAAAAAGTATGTTATTTTTGTTTAACTAACTTGCTGTTAATGTACATGTTAGTCTG